CATGCCCCTCAAATTACACAGTTCATTTCCAACATATTATCTTGTGAGTATAGCCATTGTGTTAGTTCCCCCTTTGTCCTTTGTCTCACCATTTTGTTGTTTCCCTACTCTTCCCTAATTCAGATAAACATAGAAAATACCCAGAGTACCAAAATCAAATACAGTGACAACAGGGGATAAACCATAGGAAGAAAAGTACAAAAGCAAAAAGAAATCATATAGTACATTAAAAACAACAACAACAAAGAAAAATCTCTTGTTGCTATATCTTAGAATTCATTTTGCTTAGTATCATCTTATGTGGTCATATGTCATATTGAGCTATTCTACTCATCTGCTAGGACTATCCTAGACCTATACTAATCATTGGAAATGAGGGAAAACATGGGAATTATGTTTCTTTGGGTCTGGCTTACCTCACTTAATATGAGTTTTTCCAACTCTTTCCATTTCCTTATGAATGGGGCTATGCCATTCTTTTTGATGGAAACATAGAATTCCATTGTGTATATATATCACATTTTCTTATATTGAGTGGCATCTAGGTTGCTTCCATATCTTAGCTATGTTAAATACCTGCAATAAACATAGATGAGCTGGTAGCTTTACTGTGGGCTTGTTTGTGGTCATTTGAGTAAATTCTGGGAAGTGGGATTGCTCCATGTTTAGTTTTATTTGTGTGTGTGTGTGTGTGTGTGTGTGTGTGTGTGTGTGTGTGTGTGTGTGTGTTGTGGGCTTGAACTCTGGGCTTGGGCACTGTCCCTCAGCTTTTCAAGAGAGCATGCTACCATGTGAGCCATAGAGCAATAGAGCTGCTTCCGGTTTTCTGGTGGTTTATTGGAGATAAGAGTCTCAGGGACTTTTCCTGCCCAGGCTGGTTTTGAACTGCCATCCTCAGATCTCAGCCTCCTGAGTAGCTAGGAGTACAGGTGTGAGTCACCGGTGCCCCACTATGTTTAGTCTTTTGAGGAACCTTCATACTGTTTTCCAGAGTGGTTGAGCAAGTTTACACTCCCACCAACAGTGAGTGTAGTAGAGTTCCCTTTTGGGCACATTCCTGCAGCATCTGTTGTTATTAGATTTCTTGATAATAGTCATTCTAACTTGGGTGAGGTGGAATCTCAATGTTGTTTTGATATGCATTTCTTTCATGGTCAGAGATGTTGAACATTTCTTCATGTCACTATTGGCTATTCTTATTTCCTGTTCAGAGAAGTCTCCCTTACGTCTTTGGCACAAGAACAGGCTTGAGGGCCAATGGAATAGAACTGAAGACCCAGAAATGAATCTGCAAAAAAGTAGGATGAAAGGAAGACAGACTCTTCATCAAATGGTGCTGACAAAATTGTTTAAACACTTGTAAAAAACTAAAGTTAGTTCCTTATGTATCACCCTGAACCAAAATCAATTTCAAATGGATCAAAGATCTCAAGGTTAAAGCAGATACTCTGAAAACAATGCAGGAAGGAATAGGAGAAACACTAGGGCTTGTTGACAAAAGAAACACAAGAAATCAAAGAAAGGTTGGACAAATGGGATTGCATTAAACTTCAGAGCTTCTGCATGGCAAACGACATAGTAGCAAGATATATAGAAAGCCCACAGATAGGGAGATCCTCACTAGTCCTATAACAGACAAGGGCCTCATATCTAAAATACACTTAGAACTCAAAGAATTAAATCCCCCAACAACAAATCCTCAAAGGAAAAATTGCCCCGTTAATAAGTAGGTTTTGTTGTTTGTGTTTGCTGGTTTGATTTTTCTTTTCTGCTTTGTCACTGTTTATGCTTTCTGTGTCTTTTGTTTGTATGTAAGTTTATTTGTCTTGGGGAGCATAAGTGGGGGCACTTAAGGGAGAGTGAACAAATGCAACAATGATACTAGATAATGTGTTAAAAATGAACTGCACAACTTTTGGGGAAAGGGGGGTTTGGAGTGAAAAACGGGGAGAAAATGAGGGAAGAAGTGATACTGTTCATAAGGAATGTGCTCATTTTCTGACATAGGTGCATCATCTTTACATACCAATAAAACAATGGTTAAATAAAGAAATTGTTATTTTTCTAGAGTTGGAAATACAGATAAAAATATCATTTCTTAAATTAGTCACTTTTTAGAATCAATTAAATATTTTAACATTTAAATACACTATGTCTGTATTTTACAGAGATAATATAGGAAAAAAATAAATTCATATCTCTAATCATACTACCAAACAAATATTTGGCCTAGATTTATTATATAATGATCATATCATAAATATGTATCCATAGGCACTCATATATTTATGTTTGATTTTTATCTTTTTAAGCACACATATAGTATTCTGAGCTAAGCCTGATATCTGTGTAGATTATATTCCTAGTTTTCCTTTATCCTAATTGAAACAATATCACTATAGACTAAACATGAAGGAAAGTTGAGTAAAAGAGAAAGAAAGAGACTGACAGAATGCCACATAGTTGCACAAAGATCAGCAGGTTCTGAGAGCTGCATCTGGTACTGACTGTGTCACTACTGGTTCTCTTATCTTGGGGAAAGATGCTTTATTTCTCACTGCCTTCAGTCATTCTTGACTCCAATGGATGTTATTTGATGCAAAAGGTTTTTATATGTAATATGTTTACAGAGGTATTTGACATAAAAGTATGTTCCAAATACTCAAAAATATTTACTGCCATCCATAGATTCTAATTTTTCTCTCTAATGTCAGAATTATAATCTATTCTATCACATCACAACTTTTCACCCCTGAACACCTGAGTTTTCTCTGTTTTCTTTCTTTTATTCCTCACTAGAAATTAGTTTTGCATGAAGTGTTTAGAGCTTTGTAATGAAATCAAATAGCATGTATCCTTTTGTGAAAATATTTTTTTAATCAGCTTAAGGCTTTAGAGATTGATCCATGTTGCCCAAATCAATAGTTTATTCCTTTTTATGGCTGAGTAGCATTCAATTATGTGTTCAGAAAAGAGCTTATTTGTACATTATCTCTTGAATGAACACCCTTGATATTTCTAGCTTCTCACTTTTATGATAAATCTGGTAGTACCAGTCTTACACAAAAGTCATCTTTTAAACATCTCCTGCCATGTCTTAGAAAAACAATTGCTTAATCATAGGGTAAAATTGGGGCTTATTTTAGAAGAAGCAAACATCCTTACAGAATACTTATACAATTTTAATCCATCTAATAATACATAATGTAAATTCAGTAGTTTCTTATCCATATCAATATTTGATCTTTCAAATTTTTAAAATTTTGATTATTTTGTTCCCATTCTGTTTCCACATAAATGCACTTAATAGTCTAATGTTTCTAAGTATGGATCATCTTAATTTTATGTTTATGAAACTGAATAAAAAGGCACAAGGAAAAACATTTAATTCACTTTCATAAAAGCATTTTAGCAATGAACTGAGCTTTAAAAAGTTTTAAAATAAACAGGTAAAAGTATTATTCAAATGCAACTCATTGTGATGCAAATTATTACAGAACTTCTTGCTTGGAAAACAATTTCAGAGGTTCCCTTGCATGGAGATGCATGATAGACTGCATTTCACAGTTTGCCATGTATTACATGTGTTGACAAATGTGTTAGGAGATGGAAGAACCCTGGCCAGTGATGATGAGGAAATAAGACCAAAACGACATGCTTGAATAAAATACATACTTTGATATTAAAAGTAGTTTTTCTAGATAGATGTAGAAGCTCATATCTACAATCCCAGCTGCTGAGTAGGCATAGATTGGGAGGGCTGTAATTCAAAGGCAGCCTTGGTAAAAGATTGGGAGACCATAGAGAATATTTACATGATCTTTTCTAAAAAAATAACCTAAAGTAAAAAGAGTTGGAGGTGTGGATGAAATGGTAAAATGTCTTGTTGCAAGTGTGAGATTTAAGGTTCTAACTCGAGTATTGCCATAACAAGACAGTAGTTTATCTACAGTAGCATTATTTAATATACTATGTCTTGAGCATGGCTATTAACTAATACAAATATTATAGAGCATTTTTATCTATAACTTCACTTTTATTCATTTCCAACGAGTAAAGCATAAGAAATGATCTCACTACGCTTAAATCATTTGTTCTGATACTATAAAGTGATATCTACACCTGAGACATGGTAAAAGGTCCCTTGTAGTTCCTATGCCTGCTTCTTCAAAATGGGAAGCTCCAGGAGTGCTTACAAGGATTTTAAGTTACCAAGGGAATACCTGCCAGAGATACAGCTAAACTTTAGAAACTGTGGTGGATAATAGACTGTGAGACAATACTACACAGGAAAACAAGCATTGGGATACCCCCACCCCCTACACACTTCCTCTGTGTGTATTTTTGCTTATATAAAATAGGATAATGCCAAATCTGATTGGGAGGCAAAGTTTAAGGTTTTGTTGTTGTTGTTGTTTTATTTTTCCATTGTTTGTGTGTGTGCATGCATGCGTGTGTGTGTGTGTGTGTGTGTGTGTGTGTGTGTGTGTGTGTGTGTGTGTGTGTGTGTTCCTGCCTGCACTGTCTCAGTGCTGTCTCTTAGCTCTTTTGGTCAAAGCTGGAGTAACACTTGAGCCATATTCCACTGCCATGTTTTTGCTGGTTAATTGGATATAAGTTATCTGGAACATTCTTACCTAAGCTGGTTTTGAGCCATAATCTTCAAATCTCATCCCACTAAGTAACTAGGATTTCAGGCATAACCATTGATATCCAGTTCATAATGTCTTAAATACATTATCATTGATAGTCTGCCCTGCTTTCTTCTTTTCCACTTGAATCTAGAAGTTCCAAGAATAGACATGTTATGCATCTCTGTCTGAAGAGAAGCCATTAAGTATGCCTTTTTAATTTTTGTTATTTACATTTGTTATTTGATTCAACACAGACTGCTGCACTGAATGTGTTGCCATAGAATAAACTAGAAAAAGTTTGCCAAAAATACAGCAAATACTTGTATCAGTCCTATCTGCATCTATTTTGTTTTTGTTTGGTTTCAGTGATTGGAGATGATGGATTTTATGTAATCCTTAAAGGCATAGCTCGACCTCGTACGAAGATATGTACAAATCTGACTGATAAAACTGGCTCAGTGTCCTTCCTACCTGAGAACAACACTATTTTTGATCTGCAGTTAAAAAGCTCTACACTTGCTGAGCTTTATGTACCTAAAGGAAATATAGTGGTAAGAGATGAAAATTTGCTTTCACTATAAGCACTAATGTATCAGAATTATAAACTTTGTACATGCAAACAGTTTCAGAGTTCTAAAATATTCAAGACAATATATTCCCTTAAAATAGGTTATACTGCTAATATTGAACTTGACTTGATTTTAAAAAATTAAAGAAGTTTGCTTTGCAATTTTTCTTATCTACTCACAATGTTTGTGTTGGGTATTTGATAACTAAGAGAAGACCAACATTCCTGGTTCCCTGGAAGGAGGTGGATGACAGTTTGGAGTGGAGAGGAGAAAATAGGTGACTTCAGAAGGGAATAGATAACTGAGGAGGGGAAGGTAGATTGCTGATTGCAATGAGCCTTTACAATCAAAATAAGAATATGCACCCATCATATTTGTCTTAAAAGCAATGTTAATATAATCTGATTGCATTAAAATAAATAATTCTGATTTAAAAAATATGACAGAACGTAATATTTCAAGATTATTAGCTGGTCAAAAAGTTCTATATTTTTTGAAGCCATACCAAGGGGTGAGTACCAAGTACTTAAGACCAATTTAATCTGTTTTAGCAAAAATACCACAGACAGCACAGCAGCTATAACTATGGCTGTTTTTGGTGGAGTTTGTGGTAATTGAATCTTCTCTAAACCATTTTTTTGAGGTTCAGACTTGTGAATTAAATGGCACACGATGAAAACCGTTATCTCTGCCTTCTATATTTAGGCCTTTCGGAAAGGATGAACCAACAAGTTATTGATTTTCCATCTAGGGAGTGTCTAAGTTGCTTTGTGGTGGTATAAAGACCTAGTACCACCAAATGTGTGAAGTGAGGTGGCTGAGACCAAATAATTTCTTGCAGACATCCTGGTGCCTAGTCAGGAGACAGGAAGCTGTTCACCCAGGTCCAAGACCCAGAGGTGAGACAAGCGATCCTTTGAAATGCACATGCCTAGCTCAGGGTGAGCTAGGAGGGCTTTGCTTTAGAGAAAAGCATATGTTATCTTGTTTTCATGGTGGGGAGGGTGGCCTCCTCGCCCCCTCAGGTGATGGGCATACCTGGACCCCTGGAGGCAGGGGTGGGCACTTGGCTGATAGGTTGCTGAACCTGTCAGTCCAGTGCCTGGGACTGGTAGTGTCCTGTGACCCATCCCCCTGGCCTGACATATTCAGCTCTCCACCGGAGCTGAACTGGTTTGTTGGTATTGTTTTTGTTCTTTCTTTCCTTTCTGGCCTGTTTCCTAAGCATCTTATGGTCTTATGTGTATTTGGGAGTTTCACGCCTTTGTATCAATTGGCTACATGCAGGCTGCTAAATGTGTAATAAAGACTCAAATATTCCATCTACCAAAATGTGGCTTCTGGGAAAATTCACCTTATTTACAACATGTGCATCAGATCAGGACCAAAACTTGACTTTTATGTATTCTTCATATTTTTTTTGCTTGCAACAGGTCACCTGACATTTTATTTACCAAGAATTTAATACCACTACCTCAAATGTTAAGACCTTAGTTCTTCATGATCAAGCAGGTCTGACAGTATCCTAATTTTCACTATGTCATGTCACTTAACTAATGCAGTTAAAACTTTTAATTGATAACAAAAGAACTTTTAACATCATAATAATAATCTTAATATGTCCCATAATGATATGGTAGTCAGATCTCTGATTCTTTGCTTAGTATTGATAAGCAATTCTTCAAACTGGCAATAGTCCACTCATATCAATACACACACACACACACACACACACACACACACACACACACACACTATTATCTGATAAGATGGTAGATCAGGAGGATCATTTGAATGCAATGTAAAACAAATCTTTAGACCTAATGAATAGATATAAGACAGGACCTTTAGACCTTGTGAATTGGAACATAAGACAGGGAGAAGAATAACAGAGGAACTAGGACACAGCTAGATGGAGCTGGTCCTAAGGAAGAAAATATGGTGATCAGAGGAAGAACAAGTTCACTGTGGCTTATGAGGACAGGATAGCGTTATCTACCTTTAAATCTATAATCTGCATGGAATTATGAAACTGGTTGAACCTTTTCATGTCTATTTCTTTGTTTTTTAAGTTTTCCCCTATTTCCCTTGAGCTTTAGAATACAAGGGTTACCTGTTTTAATGATCTCCTATGGACTGTCTGCCTTTACAGTCTTCTGTCTCCTCTTACCAATAAAAACATTTCTCACTCCAGCCATAATAACCTTTGGTACTTTTTTGTATATTCTGCCCCTCTGCATCATTAAGAATTTGCCTAATGCTAAAAAAAACCTCAGCAAAAATGACACTTGAGATTTTTGCTGAAATTTTAGTCTGACATAAATGTAACTCTACCAAATTTCCACTATCCCCTATTCTTTTGTCTATCACAGCATTTTATATCTCACAGCATTTTAACCTCAAGCTGACTATTACTTATTAATGATAGTGCACCATTTTAGTCATTGTTAATAAATTATGTCATCTAATTTTTATGAAGACCTTCAGAAATAAAGAAAGATAGCTATGCTTACTATCACTTGCACTCTAATGAGGGAGATACATGCAAAATTCCAGTTAATTTTTGTGCCCCAATTAAATGTATGCAAAGAGCTCTAGGGGATTCCTAAATGGAAAGGAAACAATGGGCCTAAACAGGGAAATTTTCAGTGGAGAAGGAAAAAGCATTCCAGATTAATGAATAACATAAGGAAAAGCAGAGAGATAAAGCGGTGGTAAGACAAATACAGCTTGTGACGTAGATTTATCCCTAATTAAAACAAAACAAAACAAAATCTTTGTTAATCAAGTTTAGTATTTAAATGTTTGTTTAAAAGTCCCTGAGAAGCGTGACATAAGTGGATGTGTACTTTAAAATGTTTGGTAGGAAATGTACTCATTACCTTGTGAATGTAACTGTAACCCCTCTGTACAGTATTCTTACAACAAAAATGTATAAAAAAGAAAGTTAACTTTGGTTAATGTGAATTATGTATTTCATTAGAAGGAGGGAGACAGGGGTAATAAAGGAAGGTATTAAAATGTTCTTTGATGAAGGTAAGTGCCCGATTCAGGGAAATGGATAGTTGAAAAGGTTCAAGGGATACTTTATAGTAAGAGAGGGATGAATAAAATTAAGCAATGATGATGTTTCCAAGATAGTTTCTAGATTTAAGGACAATATTCTTGCTGTACTAACATAGTAAATATTTTGTAGTTTATTTTAAATCTATGGAAAGATATTGAGAAGACTATAAAATCTTAATAAACTAAAATAATTTTCATTTTCATGTAAGAGAGTTTTAATGAAGATTAACTAGATCAAGTAGTAAACAATTTGTACTGGCTGACTTGTTATAAAAGTTTATTAATGGCTGATTTCAACTTATGAATCCATCAACTTGTTATTAGATACACAAATCCAAATGTTCCTAGATAATTGAACATCATATACCACTAAAATTACAAATTAGATTGAAATTTATTTGGTGTAATTATTGAATTAAAATAACAAAGTATAAAGTATGTCTAAATATTCATTCAATACTTATAATTTTATGTGAAGTTTATTTTTGATTTCTGGAACAGCATGACTGTGTGTGTGACTGTGTGTGTGTGTGTGATTTCTTCTCTTTTGTTGATGAGGTGAAAGATATTTTTTTCAAATGCTTTTCTAAAAATTAAAAGTTTATGAACACTGATTTTAAAAGTGAATAAAATATATAAACCATCAGAAACAGAAACAAGTATTGGGCTGCTTACCATAGTGTAACATTACATTATTCATGTAAATTCTCTATTTTAATATTCTTTTTACCCTTTCTATTTTTAAAGAAAGCAGAGAGAGGGAGAATTTAGGAAATATCTTGTTAAAATATGTTTTATTATCTTTTGGTGGAGAACACCAAACTCACATTGATATTTTTATTTGAATTTTAGTTGTAAAGGAATTCATATCTATAAACTAAAAAAAGTCGAGAGGCAATAATGAATGTCAGTTTTGGCAAAGGATATATGATATATGCCCTGGCAAATTTTCATTATAACAGATTTCATTTATTTTTTGTCTTTAGTTGTATATAAGGGTGTCAATTCAACATGTCAGTTTGTGAGTACAATTCATCTTGATCAATGTTTAGCCACTTATCTCTTCTGTTGCAGCCTCTTTAAGTTGCTATAACAAAATCATAAACTGATTGATCTGTCAACACTAGAGATTTATTTCTCACATTTATGACGACTGGGAAACTTAAAGTCAAGATTTCAGAAGAGTCAGTGTCTGATGATGCCTGCATTCAGGTTCATAGTCAAGTATGTCCTTGTACAGTGGAAGGGCTCAACCTGCTCCCTTAGATTTATTTGCTGAGGCTACTAACCTTAATCACCTGGAGATGTTCTCACCTCCTAAAACAAACTCCTTGGGAACTGGGATTTCGACATGAGTTTGAATCATTCAATCCAATGCAAGTTATGAAAGCTTTGTCAGACTGTGAGGACCATTTTACTTATTCCAAAATTTCATACAAGTAGAATCTAGCAGGTATATTCTTTGTGTAATTCTATTTCTACTCTTAGTATCATAGTTTCCTAATATATCCTTATTGTAGCACATAACACTGGTTATTACAATTAATTGAAGAATAGTAATTAAAAAATAACCATCCATTATTCTATTTACAGACATTTGAGTTGTTCTCAAAATAAGGAAATTAATCGTAGAGGCCTTTTATTTAAAATGTTTCTATTTCTCTTGTATAAAACGTCTAGATGTAGGCTTGAATCCTGGCTTGGCTTTCTAGTTATTTGTCCTTGGATACAATCCTTACATAATTTCTTATTTTTTAAGATAGACATGATGGTAATAATAATTCTAATACATAGAACTACTTTGGTGATTAAATATGAGTCATGAGTTCACTTATCAAAAGTAGGAGTCTGTAAATGTCACATTTTGGTTATTACACACTAGCAATAGATAAAAATTGCCATATATACTTTAGAGG